TTTGCGTCGAATGGTTTGAACGACACAAAAACGACGCAAAATCGTCGCTAATTTTGCGTCGACACAAATCCGACGCTAAATTTCGACGCTAAAACTGGTTTTTCTTGTAGTGTTTTAAAAAACATCTTGCTCGTGTCTCTGGTTTCATATGGATTGCCGAAGACGGCCTCAAAATGCAGGTTTATTTTCTTTCTTAATTTCTCTTGAGACTCAGCCATTTTCACAATATCGGATTAACTATTAAAATCATGTGCAGACTTTTGGTAGTCAAATCTGGGATACATCCTTCTTGCTACAAGTCATGCTCGCCGCTGATATTAACGATCAACACTCATAAAAGGATACTCATACTTGAAGAATTCTCAGATTACAGAGAACCCTCCTGGTGATCAAAAGGAGGTTGGAGTTTTTCAGACAAAGATCAAGGATGGCCAGTTTCAGATTGTATTTCTGAGAGTTTAGAGGTTCATGGTCTTCTCTCTCTTTTTTTTTTTGAGCAAAAAAAAACTAATTGATTATATAACCGCGTATATATGCTTGTCCGCAGTGCTGCCTTATCTTCGACACCATGCCTTCCGAGTTTATTGGTGAGAAAATGGATGTGGAGAGGCTTTATGATGCCGTCAATATACTTCTCCATTTGCAGGTAATTAATCTAACTGATTATAAATTATCAAAAACCTCACAAGAAATTGTTTTGAATTCTCAAGTAAAATAAAGCGTTATCGATTGTGGTGAATATCATCTCGTCTAGAACTTTTTTTTCCATTAATTGTAATAATAACAAATCTTAAAAACTCTTTCGACCAAAACAAAAAAAAACAAATCTTAAAAACTCTTTTATATAGGCTTTAAAATCTGATACAATTAATTAAAATATGGCGATAAGAAAATATCTTTTTTACTCCCAGTAAAAGGGTCGGCTCGTTGGTACACTCGACGAAACGGACTTGAAGTAGTAGATTTTCAGTTACCGTGAAACACAAACTTAATTCTAACATATTCTCATCTCTGTTTTCATGGTTGAGAGTTTATAGCTAATGTCTACTCTCGAGGGACATTTTTACTCACTATTTAGATGGTTGATTTATGGTATGAGAGTCTTTTATTTTATAAAACTCTATAATTTCATTGCTACTAATTCAATTATAAAACAAAGAAAACATCGTCACCAGCTAATTGGATTACCAATTGGTGATAAAATAGTTTTATTATGTTGTTGACTTAAAAAACATTTTATCCAACATGTTTCAAAAAAGAAATGCTAACATACATTTCTCTCGAGAATTTTCTTCATATCAGAGCGATAATGGAGGCATAGCCGTATGGGAGCCTGCGCGTGGAAAAAAATGGCTAGAGGTAGTTATCATTTATTCGTTTTGTGTTTTTCTGAACATTTATTCATTTGTTTTTCTCCAAAAAAAAAAAAACATTTATTCGTTTCAAGTTGATTGAATTTATCGCATATATTTGTAACTAGAAACACATAATTTTTGGTTTTTTTATAGTGTTAATGTTTATATTTTTATGTTCGTACCCGCACAAATGCAGTGGCTTAATTAGCCCCGTAGAGTTTGTTGAAGACACAATCGTCGAGCGTGAGTATCTAGAATGCACAGGGTCAGCGATAGTAGTGTTGGCTCGCTTTATAAAACAATTTCCAGGGCACAGGGCAAAAGAGGTCAAAGAGTTTATCAAAACGGCAGTGAAATACATGGATGACTTACAAATGCCAGATGGTTCATGGTACGGAAATTGGGGTGTCTGCTTTATTTATGGAACCTTTTTTGCAGTTCGAGGTCTAGTGGCAGCAGGGAAGACTTACAGTAACTGCGAGGCAGTTCGTAGAGCCGTTAAGTTCATTCTCAACACACAAAATGATGGGGAAGGCGGATGGGGAGAGAGTTATCTCTCTTGTCCCAACAAGAAATATTTTCCTTTGGATGGAAACAAGACCAATGTGGTGAATACAGGACAAGCACTTATGGTTTTAATTATGGGTGGTCAAATGGAACGAGCGAGACCCTTTGCCTATTCATCGCGGTGCAAACATACTAATCAATTTGCAAATGAAAAACGGCGATTTTCCACAATAGGTATGGTTCTTCTTCTCCTAATTTACTAATGAAATTTTTGACAAATACAATGAATATTAATATGAATTTTAAAAATACATTTAGTTTTTATAAAAAATTTGAAAACAAAGTCTTATTTATTGTTATCTTATATCTAAATAGATAATATTTGATTAATCATGGATATGATACTGTTCAAAAAATCGTGGATCTACATATAATTAAGGTGTGTAAAATTTGTAGAAAACACTTACAGTTTACCTACTGTTCAAAGTTACAAAAAAAAATGGATTTCCATAACTTAATTAATGTGACTTTAAATATTTGATAGTTACTTCTTTTATAAAATCG